CTCAGCCCATTTCCATTCCACTATATTGTATGGCAGCGGCGAAGTTGAAGGAGTTAAAAGAGCAGCTTCAGGAACTCCTTGATAAGGGGTTTATTCAGCCGAGTGTGTCATTGTGGGGTGCGCCTATCCTATTTGTGAAGAATAATGATGGTATTATGAGGATGTGCATTGATTACATGCAGTTGAACAAAGTCACCATCAAGAACAAGTATCATTTTCCTCGTATTGATGATTTATTTAACCAATTTTAGGAAGCGAGAATGTTCTCCAAGATTGATCTCCGGTCAAGGTATCACTAGTTGAAGATCAGGGACTCGGATATTCTTAAGACAGCTTTCAGGACCCGATATGTTCATTATGAGTTCCTTGTGATGTCTTTTGGGCTGACCAATACCCCAACAACGTTCATGCATTTGATGAACAACGTGTTTCGGCCTTATCTTGACTCGTTTGTTATTGTATTCATTGATGATATTCTGGTATACTCGTGTAGTCAGGATGAGCACGCTGAGCATTTGAGAGTTGTATTGCAGCGGTTGAGGGTGGATAAGCTTTATGCAAAGTTCTCTAAGTGTGAGTTTTGGCTTAGTTTAGTGGCTTTCTTGGGGCACGTGGTCTCCAGTTGGGGTATTCAAGTTGATCCAAAAAAGATAGAGGCGGTTCAGAGTTGGCCCAGACTGTCCTCAGCCATAGAGATTCACAGCTTTCTTGGCTTGGCGGGTTATTACCGTTGGTTCGTTTAGGGATTTTCATATATAGCATCACCCTTGACCAAATTGACTCAAAAGGGTGCTCCTTTTATATTGTCGGATGAGTGTGAGGTGAGCTTTCAGAAGCTCAAAATTGCCCTGACCACAAACCAGTGTTAGTTTTGCCATCAGCTTCAGGTTCTTATACAGTATATTGTGATGCTTCTCAAGTTAGTATTGGGTGTGTGTTGATGTAGGATGGTAGAGTGATTGCTTATGCTTCTCGGCAGTTGAAGCCTCATGAGAAGAACTACCTTGTTCATGATTTGGAGTTGGCTGCCATTATTCACGCATTGAAGAGTTGGAGGTATTATCTCTATAGCGTGTCTTGTGAGGTGTTTACTAATCATCGTAGCCTCCAACACTTGTTCAAACAGAAAGATCTCAATTTGAGGTAGCGGAGATGGTTGGAGCTGCTAAAGGACTATAATATTACTATCTTGTACCATCCGGGAAATGCCAATGTAGTGGTCGATGCTTTGAGTTGGAAGGCAGTGATATGGGTAGTTTGACATATATTCCTGTTGGGAAGAGGCCTCTTACGGTTGATGTTCAGGCTTTGGCCAATCAGTTTGTGAGGTTAGATATTTCGGAGACCAGTCAGATCTTAACTTATGTGGTTTCTCGGTCTTCCTTGTATGATCATATCAGAGAGCGCCAGTATAATGATCCTTATTTGCTTGTCCTCAAGGACAAGGTTCAGTACGACGATGCCAGAGATATGACTATTGGTGATGACAGAGTATTGAGGATGCGGGGTCGGATATATGTGCCCAATGTGGATGGGCTTCGAGAGTTGATTCTGGAGGAGGTCCACAGCTCGCGGTATTCCATCCATCCGAGTGCCGCAAAGTGTATCATGATCTGAGACAACATTACTGGTGGAGAAGAATGAAGAAAGATATAATGGGATTTGTAGCTCGGTGCCTCAGTTGTCAGCAGGTGAAATATGAGCATCAGAGACCAGGTGGCTTACTTCAGCAGATAAATATTCCAGAGTGGAAGTGGGAGCAAATCGCCATTGATTTTGTAGTTGGACTCCCACGGACTTTGAGGAAGTTCGATGCTATTTGGATGATTGTGGATTGGCTGATCAAGTCCGCGCACTTCATTCATGTATGTACTATCTATTCGTCAGAGCGATTAGCTGAGATTTATATCTGAGAGATTGTTCGCTTGCATGGTGTCCCAGTTTCCATCATTTTAGATAGAGGTACTCAGTTCACATCGCAGTTTAAAGAGCCGTACAACGAGAGTTGGGTACTCAGGTTGAGTTGGCATAACTTTTCACTCTCAAATAGACGGCCAGCCCAAGAACACTATTCAGATATTGGAGGACATGTTGTGCGCTTGTGTCATTGATTTTGGGGGTTCATGGGACCAGTTTCTACTGCTCGCGGAGTTTTCTTACAACAACAGTTATCAATCGAGTATTCAGATGGCTCCATATGAGGCTTTATATGGGAGACGGTGTAGATCTCCAGTAGGTTGGTTTGAGCCGGACGAGGCTAGACTTTTGGGTACAGACTTGGTACAGGATGCTTTGGACAAGGTAAAAGTGATTCAGGAGCGGCTTCATATGGCGCAGTCAAGACAAAAGAGTTATGCTGACAAGAAGGTTCGAGATGTGTCTTATATAGTTGGGGAGAAGGTTCTAGTGAATGTTTCACCGATGAATGGTGTTATGAGATTTGGGAAGAAGGGAAAATTGAGCCCTAAGTTCATTGGGCCTTTTGAGGTGCTTCGAAGGATTGGGGAGGTGGCTTATGAGCTTGCCTTTCCACCTCTTGTCGAGCGTGCATCCGATATTTCATATTTCTATGCTCCGGAGGTATATTGGCAACCCGTCTCATGTTTTGGATTTTAGCATGGTTTAGTTAGACGGTGATTTGACTTATGATGTGGAGTCATTGGCTATTTTGGAGTAACAGGTCCGAAAGTTGAGGTCAAAGTATATAGCATCAGTGAAAGTGCAATGGAGAGGTCGGCACGTGAAAGAGGCTACTTGGGAGACCAAGCGTGAGATGTGGAGCAGATATCCATACATGTTTGAGGCTTCAGGTATGTTTCTAGACTCGTTCGAGGATGAACGTTTATTTAAAAGGGGGAGGATGTAACGACTCGTTCGCCTGTTTCATGAGTTACAGCCGCATTTCCCCCATTTCTGCTTCCTTATGTGTTGTTCAGTTGTATTTCAGCGTATCGTGTTGGTTGGTTCGGGTTCGGAGTGGTTTTGAAGTGACATGAGACACTTAGTCTCTAATTTAGGAGCTTAAGTTGAAAAAGTCAATCGGATATTGACTTATGTGTAGAAGGTCTCGAATGTGAATTCTGATGGGCCGAATAACTCTGTTAGATGATTTTGGACTTAGGAGCGTGTTCAGAAAGTAATTTAGAGGTCCGTGGTAGAATTAGGCTTGAATTGGTGAAATTAAAAATTTGGAGTTTTTGGTCGGCAGTGGAAATCTTGATATCGAGGTCGAAATGGAATTTCAGAAATTGGAGTAGGTCTGTAGTGTCATTTGTGATGTGTGTGCAAAATTTCAGGCCATTCAGAGGTGATTTGGTATGTTTCGGTGTTGTTTGCAGAATTTGGAAGTTTAGAGGTTCTTAGGCTTGAATCCGAGGGTATTTTGGTGTTTTGATGTCGTTTTGGGTGTTCCGAAGGGTCGACTAAGTTTGAATGATGATATGTGACTTATTGGTATCCTTGGTGGAGGTCCTGAGGCCTCGGATGTGATTCGGATGGTTGACGGATTGGTTTTTCAAATTTGAGAGTTAATGAAATTGCTGGTGTGTTTCAACTGTCATAACCGCACCTGCGGGGTGGGGACCACGGGAGAGGGAACGCAGAAGCATAGGAGAAGCCTCAGAAGCGGCCATAGCTGAGAGGACAAGAGTAGCAGATGCGAATAGGGTACCGCACCTACGAGACTGCATGTGCAAGAGGTTGACCACAGAAGCGGATTCTGGGATTCAAGTGAGAACCGCACTTGCAGGTGCGGCGTCGCAGATGTGACAAGAGGACTGCAGATGCAGAAGTTGATAGATTTTAAATATTCTTGCCTTATGTTTTGATGATCTAACAAACTTAATATTAAGAACGAGATAGGGAACCTGACCTACTTAGACTACTGCAAGCTTTAACGGATTCCAGCTAAAGGTGAACTACTACAGCTTCAGGAGCTAAGAACCCATACAAGGACCTGATACTCTTGTGATTTTCTCATAGCAGTACAAAGTCAATTGGACACAGCTGGAAATGAAGTACCTGATGGCACTGTTTCTGCCGCACTGCACTGTCTCCAGCGCCTACTCATTTTCTAACCAAATAAAGTACTCACATTATTTCAAGTGATGTGATCAAGATATACCTACAATGAGTTTTATACAAAACATCACTTGAAGGTTTCTGTTTTTTATTCAAGCTTCTTGCAAAAATAGAGAAATCAATCCTTACAAGCTTGAAGAACAAGATTGAACGCAACTACGGACCAGTTCCTAAAAGATAGCTTGTTGTTGTCCTAGTTGAATTGTAACCTTGTTGTTGTACTTATTGTATCTCCTAAACTGCTTACCTAGAAGCGTTTGATTAGGAATCCTCTTGTAAATCCGTAAACTCATTGAGTTTATGTTGTGACTAGGGATAGTCATAAGTTCAATCTTTGTAATTGTAGAGTTACAAAGTGGCTTGTGGTGAGAGCATCACAAGTTAGAAAAAGCCTTTGTAACTAGGAAGTCACAAATTGGCTTGTGGTAAGAGTACCATAAGTTAGTTGAGTAAATCCTTTGCAATAGGATTCATTGCAAAATGGCTTGTAATAGGTTCTTTACAAGTTAGTGAAGTTAAAAGCCTAAAGGTGTAGGTCGTGGTTTTTTGATCCGCTTGTGTGGGATTTTTCCACGTAAAAATACTCTGCCTTATTTACGTACTGTTTTATTAGCATTATCAGTAGAATCTTGTAGAGGACCAGGTACTCTACGGTTTGGTGGACTCATACAAACTAACAATTTGTATCAGAGCAGGTTTCTCCTATCAGGATAACACATAGGAAGGATCCTCATGACGGCTCCACCAAATTTTGAAGAAGGTCAATCCATATACCGACCCCTAAGTTTAATGGATAATGCTATTGGTGGTGGAAAGCTAGAATGCACGATTTTATCATGGCTGAGGATTGTGAGCTATGAGATATCATTTGCTATGGTCCTTATGTTCCAACCAAGGTACTAGAGGAATTTCAATTTTTAATGGAAAAAACCAGCAAAGAGTACACTGAAGCAGACAAGAAAGCTGTGGAGAAGAATTTTTGTGCCAATAAAATTCTAGTATGTGGAATGGGACCTAAAGAGTACAATAGAATCTCCACCTGCGACACTGCCAAGGAGATATGGGAAGCTTTGCAAATAGCTCATGAGGGAACTACACAAGTAAAACAGTTTGAAGATGAACCTGATACTAGTGATAGTTCCATAATGGTAGTTGAAGGCAAAGATATTGGATATGACCCAACTTTTGCTTTGATAGCTCAATCAGATGATGATGAAGACAATGACAACAAAGAGGTAAATTTCAGGGATGTTCAAAGAAATCTGAAATCCTATTCTCCAAAAAAATTCATGTCTTTAGCTGATGTATTAATCACTGCCTTTCATAGTCTTGTGAAAGATAGGGATTCTTTGATCTTAGAATTAGGAGAATCTAAACAAACTAGAGTTGACTTAGTGGCTGTAGTTACTGACCATAAGAAAACCATTGAAATCCTCAGAAAAGAAAAGAGTGATTTGTTGGCAGAAATTGCAGATTAAAGGGAAACAATAGTGAAACCATGGACTAAGTCAAAACCTGAAAGTTCTGAAAAGGGAAAGGAGATAGCAAGTGAGGAACACATTAGACTTGAAAATGAGGTGAAAGCTATGAGATTTAGGATGTGTGCTGAAATTGAGAAAAACGAGCTTCTCCAAACTAATATGGAAAGAGTAAAGAATGATCTTGAAAAGTCCCTAAAGTGGACCTGGTCCTCAGAAGCTACCACTGCTTTGCTTACTAATGATTGTGAAAAAAGGCAGGGAGCAGGGTTCCAAAGGGAGAAAACTCCTCACAACCCTCACAGTAAGTACGTTACTATCTCTGATAACTAGCCTCGTACCCGATGTGGGAACACTGGGCGCTTCAAGGAAGGTGTCCAGGCCAAGAATCAATCATTTCAGAAAGACAAAGTGTTTGTTGAAACAGTAACTACAAAAGATGGACCAGGTTCCACTCACAAAATGCACATTATCTGCATGGACTAAGAGAACTCTTATTCATCCTCTTGCTTACTACAAGGGACCCAAACTTGTTTGGGTTCCTAAAACTAACTCCTAAACTCTTGTGCAGGGAATAGTGAAAGGAAGCGGTCAATAATGGTTTATGGATAGTGGGTGTTCAAAACACATGACTGGGAACACCACAGACTTTCTTTCACTAAAAGCTCTGCAAAGAGAGAGTGTATCCTTTGGCAATGGTAAAAAAAGGGTACATTCTTGGAGTTGGAAAAGTTTGGAAGTCACTCACTCATTCTATTGAAAATGTGTACTATGTCAATGGGCTTAAGTACAGTTTCCTGAGTGTTTCTCAAATCTGTGATAAAGGAAACAAGGTGGAATTCTTGCCCAAAATATGTACAGTCATTGACCTTGTGACCGGTGAAATAGTACTGTGGCCAAAAGATACAAGAACATTTATGTTAATAATTTCGAATCCTTACAGAGTGGTGATCTAAGTTGTCTGAAAGCTGTTGATGATGATGTTGAACTATGATACAGAAGACTAGGCCATGCAAGCTTTTCCCTTCTGAACAAACTAATTCAGAAGGACCTGCTCCAGGGTCTGCCTATGTCATAATTCAAGATGCAAAAAGTTTGTGATGCCTGTGCTAAAGGAAAACATGTGAAATCTTCTTTTAAGTTTAAAAGAGATGTAAGCACCTCAAAGCCACTAGAGCTTCTACATATGGATCTGTGTGGACCTATGAGAGTGTAAAGCAGAGAAGGGAAAAGATACATTTTTATAATCGTGGATGACTATTGCAGATTCACATGGACTCGATTTCTCAGAACAAAAGACGAAACTATTGAAGTGTTTGTGGCCTTTGTGAAGAAAACCTAGGTGAAGATGGAGTCTAGAGTTGTATGCATTAAATCAGATCATGGGACAGAATTTGACAATGTCAAATTTGATGAATTCTGTAGTGAAAATTGCATCACTCACAACTTCTCAGCTCCCAGAACTCCCCAGCAAAATGGAGTAGTAGAAAGGAAGAATAGAACTCTGGAAGAAATGGCAAGAACAATGCTGATTGACAATGGAATTGCAAAGAACTTCTAGGCTGAAGCTGTCAACACTGCCTGCTTCTTAGTGAACAGGTTCATGATCATATCACTTCTGAACAAAACCCCGTATGAATTGTTGAATAGAAGAAAACCCAAGCTGACTCATCTAAGAACATTTGGATGCAAATGCTATGTTCTGAACAATAGAAAGGATCAACTTGGTAAATTCGATGCCATGAGTGACGAAGGAATATTTCTGGGCTACTTCTCAAAGCAAGACTTACAAGATATATAACAAGCGGACTTAATGTGTTGAGGAAAGTGTCCATGTTATTTTTGATGAATCTTATCCATCATTTGAGAAGAGTGCTGAGGAAGATCAAGATGGAGAACCCTCACTAGTTCCTGGTGAAGTCATTACCATGACAAACGGAAAGGCAGATATGATGAGTCAAGTAAAGGAGCCAAATGAAGACAACGCTTCCTCATCATCAACAGAACCAAGCACTTCAATTACAACCACTGAAGCTGAAGAAAGAGTGGTTGATGCAGTTCAGGGAACTCTACTAGCACCTGAGAGAAGGATAGAGGAAAATCAGCCAAACATACCTTCCTCTTCTCAGAATGAACCTCAGGCGTCCAACTAGAGACACCAAATCTCTCATCCAATAGATAACATTATCACTCCTCTAGATTCCGGAGTACAAACCAAGCCAAGTGCCAGAAATTCATTTGCCCTTTTCAGCCTTTCTCTCCCAGATAGAACCCAAAAATATCAAGGAAGCCTTGAAAGATGCAAATTGGATTACAGCCATGCAAGACAAGCTGCATCAGTTTGAGAGAAACAATGTGTGGCACCTGGTACCTAGACCCCCAGATAGAACCATTATAGGAACCAAGTGGGTATTCAGAAATAAGCTCGATGAACATGAAATTACCACAAGGAACAAGGCCAGACTAGTGGTCTAAGGCTACAATCAGGAGGAAGGGATTGACTATGATGAAACGTTTGCCCCAGTGGCTCGCAGGGAAGCTATTAGATTTTTAAACGCTTTTTCATCTCATATGGAATTCACCTTGTTCCAAATGGATGTAAAGAGTGCATTTTTGAATGAACTCCTTAAG